GTTATATAATCTTGCTAGCGATCTTTATTCTCTTTCAAAATCTATTTTATATATTTATAAATCTACCATTCGTTGGTTGCATCTAATATGGCTGCCACGTCTAGCGTGGGACTTTTGATATGTATTTAGAAATTCTTGATAATAGTCAAAGAAGAATATACAATTTTATTGGTCCTTAACTAGCCTCCTGGATTCAGTCTTTTTTCTACCGACGTAACGTAACTATTCTGTGTCATTTCTCTAAAGATTTTTTTTTCCGGTATTTATTCTAATAAGCTTTTCTCGTTACTAGACTTAAGTGCAATTCTAGATTGGCAACTTGATCTCATCAATTTACAGCTGAAATTGTTAGATGCCACTGTAAGTTATATGTCGCTTGTTGAATTGTCACGCGGCTTTTTTGCTTTCTAATCAACTTTGACCCCAAATATTTAAATACAATGTCGTTATCTTTTTTCTTAATTCTTGTTTTTAATCTGCGTTCTTTTATTTCCCTCTCTCTCACCATAATAATGTTTTTCTTTTTCTCATATTCTTCCACAATCAGTAACTTCGTAGTGGCTTTATTGCCTTGCTTCGCATGAAATGAGTAAAAAAAAATTCATTGTGCCTATTCTTTCGGTTATATTAATCTGGATAATTGCACGAAAGAAATACCAGTCAAATATTAATAATTGTTGAGGATCTCGAGTATGATTCAAGAGTAAACCTCCGTTTTAAAATACTTATAATTTATTTATTAATTAAAATTTTTACAAAAAATAGATATGAGAGGAAAGCGTTTAGCATGAGGTTTTATTTATTAATTCGATATGGCCACCAGATTTCGCTAACAGCTTCTCGAGCCGCCCAGGAATCGCGTCAAAAGATTTCACTTGGTATGGAAGACATAACTTCTCTTCTTCACCCTTCAAGTTCTATGTTTCGTATAGTAGGTAATTTCAAAGAAAAAAGTCACAGAGTGTTAAGTCAGGATTCCTAGCTATCATACGTAGCATAGAGAGTTACTTTTCAATCACCCTGTATTGAGAAGTACAAACACTATTGCTGCGACTAAAATGTTCCTTTTATTTTAAATTTCTGAGCGGTTTGTAAAAGACCATCTCCTCATCCATGTCTTAATAAATGATTTAAGCTAAACAATTTTCACTTTTAAATGATTGTTTTTTCGTTTTTTTTTAAATTTTTACTGACACTGATTTGTTTTTGTCGGATTCTATTTGTTACAATGAAAATCATTTTATTCACTACTTTCTTCATCGCATCTTGTCAGATCTACGTTTTCTGTTTCTCTACTTTTTCTTCTTACTTTTGTTTCTCTCGCAATTTCTAAATGTTCAGCCTCGACAATGTCGCTTCGACAAAGTTCCCGCTTTAGAATCAATATTGTTTAAAGATTTTTCTTTTCATCTCAATTCATCTTCCCCACCCAGCGGCCATTTACACGACACTTTCTCTCATCTCTTTCTCATTCTTCAATTCGTAATGGCGCACAGGTTATCAGCACTGGAAACAGAAACGGCGGACAATGTTCAAAATCTACCTGGTTTATGATTACAAAATACTTTCCCCCCCCCAAAAAAAAAAAACTCTACTTTCCAATCATTTGCACCCGGACTATTGTCCTCATCATTGTTATTGTTATCACACATGTTCAGCTAATATATATGTCGTCTCCTATGGTACTCTAGCCTAGTGGATAAAACCATTGGTAGGTGGATTTTATGACATAGTAATTGTGAGTTCAATCCCTACGTCAGACAGTGGAAAAGGTCGAGAAATTACTGAGCAGTAATAAAAATAACAAGACGAGCTATACCTAAACATGGGCAGTGGAAAGAGAACAGTCAACCCACGTCGATTGAATAAAGACTTCAGTCCGTAATTCGTTGTAGGTTAACCGGATTGATATGCACCTGATGAAGGTCGTAAAGTACAACGATCTAAATGTTGTTACGTAAAGATAAATATGAGACTAACAGTCCAAATGAAAATAGTGTGAGATTCAAACAGAAGTCCACTTTTCTAATATAGTGTATTGATCACCATTTTTCGCTACATTATTTTTTACTTAATACAAAGCTGAAGAGCCAGTAGTAAATGGCTCAGAGATCAAAGAATCATCCAATGGAGAGCGTGTTAAACAAAATGAGTGTCCTAAAGTAATATTTAACGAGCTCTTGTTGTAGATGATTACTAGCTTAGCGAGATCCATGACCACGATATTGTCCTCTTAAAGAGGATATTCCAAGAGCCAGTAAACGTAGAGGTTTAATGTCTAAGCAAGTTTCGACTGCGTAAATCGAAGAAGTTAGAAATGCATATTATAAGAATATGTAGTATAGACAACAATTGACACTTTACTTGAAACTGTAAAGTTCTTAGTGATCAAGGAACCATCAATTCGAGTGTCTGTTAAACAAAGAGTTTGTCCTGAAGCAATATTTAACAAGCTATTATTGTAGTTGCTTACTATCGTAGCGAGTTCTGAGATCACGATGTGGCCATCTTGGACAGGCTTTTCCCCCAATACTTGGCATTTTATAGAACAGACTTCCGCTTGAGAACTTCTCTATAGTTCCAACATCTTAAAGTCAAAGGTCAATCTATAATGGTTACTCATATAATATTCACTATTACCACCTCCTCTTTCATACATATCACACACCATTCCTCATGGATATTTTAACAATAATTCTCTGCCTTAAGTAACTCCTAACCCTTGTATATGATCTGATTTTTATATAAATTATTACGACACTACGCGTCGTTCGAGAGCCATGATTATCAATCTCCTATTACTTTTCAAACTACTTAAATGCACCCCCAGACATCAAGTGGAAGTTGTACATGCGAACAATCGCTAAAGATAAGTAAAAAAAGTTTGGTTCCCTGTACCGCCCCCGCTAGTACATGACACATCGTTCTGTCCTCGACCTTTAAAAGAGCCAGGTCAGGCCTAAAATGGAATACTGCCCACTTCGCACATTCCAGTCTCAATAGAGTCCAAACGCGCCTCAGCATTTTTGTGGGCGACGAATTATTTTCCTCTCTACAACTCCTGTTTCGCAGACGAGATGTAGCAAGACTCTTACTGTTCTGTTGCAACATCCATGGAACAACTACATTCCTTAGTTCTAATCTTCACGGCTAGAACACGTCATGCCATTCATATTGCAGCAAAGCACCCTCCGATTTACAAAGCAGCGTCTTCCCGCGAACCACTTTTCTTTGCAAACGACTCCCAAGTGGATGTTTCCCCGATCACGACAATCTTAACCTGTCCAAGACTAGGGTTAACCGTTATCTTTTCTTCCTATTTGCATAAACTATTCCTCTTGCTCTGTAACCCTCTACCTCGAGTGGCTCCAGGATTTGCACAGGGTAAATCTCACTATAAATAATAATAATAATAATAATAATAATAATAATAATTGCTGACTGTAATGTATCTTTGAAGATATTCAAAAAGTTGTCAAAGTACAAGGACTTTGAAATAGAAATCTCGAAAATGTGGCATATGGGAACATCAACAATCCCTGTTATAGTTGGAGCCCTAGGACTGGTTGGAAAAGATTGCAATAGACTAATTGAAGGGATTCCTGGAAGTCCATGTCTCAAGGAGATACAAAAAATTGTTCAGACAAGTACAGCCCACACCTTACGAAGGGCTTTATCTATGTAATTTATTTATTTATTTTTTTATTTTTATTTTTATTTTTTTGTCAGTGGAAAATGTCATGACGCCATTTCTAACCTTAGGTCCCTGGGCGGGACCCGGAAAGAAATATGTAAACGCCAGAAATCAAAGAAAATCAAAATAATAATAATAATAATAATAAAATGGGTGCGGAAATACAAGTAAAGGACAATACACCGACTGAAGCTGCAAAATACTTAAAAAAAGAAAGGAAAATTAAATGCAACCGACCAGATACAGAAAAAATGCAGACATAAACCTCTTCATGGCCAATACTCTGCCCGCACCAAACAATCTGATGTAGATATAAACCCAGAACCCATCAGTGGCTATGTAGTGCAGGGTTAAAAGCTGAAATCGAAGGGTTTATTCTTGCTGTACAAGACCAATGCTTGTTAACTAAAAATTACCAAGCACACATATTAAAATATTTTGTTATCCCAAAATATAGATTCTATGATAAATATACGGAAACAATTGATCATCTTGTATCAGACTGCATGGTATTGGCATACACTGAATATAAAACCCGGTATGACAGAGTGGACCAATATCTGTACTGGAAAATCTGCAACTTCTACGGGAAGGAAGCTGAAAGACATTGGTATGAACACCACACAGACCGGGTTACAGGTATAGGACCTGTTAAAATTTTATGGGACTACACAGAGAACAATCAAAGGTAACCACACAGACACTGTTATTAGAGACAGCAAAAAAAGCCTCTTTATTGATATGGCAGTCCCTGCAGACTGCAATGTATCTTTGAAGATCTTCAAAAGCTATTAAAATACAAGCACCTTGAAATCGAAATCTCAAAAATGTGCCACATGGGAACATCAACATCATCAGTTGAAGTTGGAGCTCTCGAATTGGTTGGAAAAGATTCCAGTAGACTCAATGAAGGGTTTCCTGGAAGTCCATGCCTTAAAGAAATACATAACAATTGTTCTCACGAGTACAGCCCACACTTTACGAAGGGCTTTTTCTATGTAAAATATGTATACGTGTGTTTTAATTGGTCAGTAGAAAATATCATGATGCCATTTCTGACCTTAGGTCTCTGGGCAAAAGCCGGAAAGAAATGTGTACACATCAGAAATCAAAGGAAATAATATAAATAATAATAATAATAGTAATAATAATAATAATTTCAGTCCTCACTTTACATTCTATCGTTTTAAGCTCTTTGGTAATCAAAGCAAAAATTTTTAAATACATATGTAATCTCCCTTTGCTGTTTTTGATAGTTAAAATCCGCCGTTGTCTGTTTAATTTTAGACGACGGTCAGGATTTTGAATGCTGATTTTCATGGATAACGTGCTTTCATCTCTTCGAAGTTTGACGTAATGCTCGTATATTTTAGCTATTCCTAAATTTCCGCTTAATTTAGCGTTTAATTCGACCGTAAAACTCTACCAAATTGGAAAATATTCATCTTATTCTTTTTCTATATGCAGCTTCCCTTCAGTTGAAATTTCGAAACGAACCCATTATTCAGTCCACGAGGGAAGATTGTTCTAATTCTACGTGCCATGCCATTTCTGGATATCTCCGTATTTAGTAACGTCACTCTCCAAGTTTTTGTTCCCTCTACTCTGTCCAGGTATTAAACCCACAAGTTTTGGGGTCAAATCACATTTGGATTACTTCAATTCTTTTACCCACCAGGATGGGACACCCTTGTGGACAAAATAAAGGATCCATTTCGAAATCCCAGAGTATATCACCTGAAGAAGGCTGGAGTGTATAAGGGTCGAAACTTCGTGAATATAACAATGAAGATGAAGACAACACTCCGACCGATATAAATAGTGGAAGGTTTCTTACTGTTTTATGACCTTGTTGATTACTCGCTCTGTCCAAGGAATGCACATCATCCTTCTGGAGAACCAGGTTTCTGCTGATACAAGTTTTCTCTTCATCTTTTGGGAGATTATGCAATATTCAATGCTATACAAGAGGATGGGTTTTAGATAATTTGGAATCGGAATTATAAGCATTCACATTTTAACTACAAACAATGCGACTTTTCTTTCTTTTTTTTTTTTTTTTGACTACTTAATCTTTTTTTGACTACTTAATGTTTTCAATTAACCTTCTACCTTGTACAGAAAATTGCAACAATCGCCTGAATCTTTTTCTTATGTAATTTTTTTTTCATTTGACTGCTTGGCTATACTTCCTTTTTCTTCCAATATACTGTATCTTGTTTCCTTTGCTTTAATATTTAATTGTATTCGTTCTTTATTCTCAGTTTCTCTCTCCTCGTTCGCATATCAGCGCCTTTTCCTTCCATGTACAAAATGGCCACCTACCTTAATGATTCCTCCCTCTTCGCTCTTCGAGTTATTCATGTCTCATAATACCAGTTTTTCGCAATACAGATGTTAATAAATTTCAGCTTCCTTATTCATCCTTACTATTTATGTTTTATTTTCACATTGATAATGTTCTATTCGATTCGTATTTATTTATTTTCTACGTCGCACTCTACTTTCTCCTATTTGCCTTCCATCCTTTTTGCCTATTTAGTTATCGCCTCGTTTTAAAAGTTTCGCATTTAATGTTCAGTCGCTCGCCATTTCCTTTAACTCATCACTTCCCGTCCATTTATTTTCGTTTGTTTTCATTTTTGGTTTGGAGGGGGGATCTGACATTTTATTATCAAAGACATAAGTCGCTTGATACAATTGTACAATGGTATATTTTCTTAATGCCTTTTAATATCAATATTTAAAATCCAAAAATTTATATACGATTCTCTATATCCACATTTTCAACACTTTTATGAGTAAAATGCAGTTTCAAATATTACAGAGAACTACACAATTGCTTTATATATATATATATATATATATATATATATATATATATATATATATATATATATATATATATATGTGTGTCAGAGAGAGAGAGAGAGAGAGAGCGTGTAATCGAGGCAGAAATGGTAATATAATGCGTGAAGGCGATTGAATTTGAAGAAACAAACAAACGCTCAAAGGGGTAAGTATACACGCATACATGTACAAGAATACACAACGTGATACACATATATCCACTATGAATATGAAATCAACTTGAAATTTTGAAATATCGACGAAGGATGTTTTCTTATACTTGAAACGATTTGTGGAAATTTATCTCGAACATTCATCATTGAATCTATTATATGCAGCTCTCTAGTTTGACTATCTATCTATCTATCTATATATATATATATATATATATATATATATATATATATATATATATATATATATATATCTATGTCAGTTTGGTCATTCGATTTTTTATGTATGTATGTATCAATCTGATTCTGCTCATATCTATTTAGCTACTCTCTCTCTCTCTCTCTCTCTCTCTATATATATATATATATATATATATATATATATATATATATATTTGTCTATCGGTCTTATCCGATTCCAGACTTTTCCTATATATCAATCTCAGTTAATTATATCCATCTTTCTACCAACCTAGCTACCGGAGTGTATTCACATCCCAGTTTATTCGCATCTATCTATCTATCTATCTATCTATCTATCTATCTATCTATCTATCTATCACATTTTGGTCATATCTGTCTATTATCTATCTATCTATCTATCTATCTATCTATCTATCTATCTATCTATCTATCTATGTTAATAATTTCACTTTTCTCGAATTAAACTTTCACCGTCCTTACATAAAAGCATACCCAAATGTCAATCTGATAATGTCACTCAGTTTTAATCTATCTATCTATCTATCTATCTATCTATCTATCTATCTATCTATCTATCTATCTATCTATCTCATTCTGATCTTACCTATCACAATGTATTCATGTCTATATCTATCTATTCATATCTCCCTTAGTCTTCATAGTTATCTATCTATCTATCTATCTATCTATCTATCTATCTCAAAGAACTATATATATACTCACACGGACACAAGAATAAACAACGTGATACACATATATAAACAATGAATATGAAATAGACTTGAAATTTTGTAATATCGACGAAAAATATTATACTTGAAACAAGTTTTATTTATTATATGCAGCTGTATAATTTGAATATCTATGTAAGTTTGATCATCTGCTTCAGTCTATTTCTATGCATATATGTATGTATATATGTATATATCTATCGCATTCTGCTCATATCTATTTATCTATCTTAATAGACGTAGTTCACACAGATTTTTTAAGCAGGGTGTCTATTAAAACATGGGTAGATACAAAAACATTTAGACGAGTAGGAAACAAAAAAAAACATGCACACACAAATATCTTTTAAGACATTTTTATATTTATACATTCCTTTTATAGATACAAATATTTAAGTAAATGCTCTGTTTATAATAAATAGTATTTACCGGCTTGAATGTCCGAGAAATATTCATCCTCCGACAGGAATCGAACCTGTATCCTATACGGAACTCTCATTTAGCATGGTGTACCTTAACCCTTAACGAATATTTTCTTCCCAATGTATGTGTGTGTGTGTGTGTGTGTGTGTGTGTGTGTGTGTGTGTGTGTGTGTATATATATATATATATATATATATATATATATATATATATATATATATATATATATATATATATATATATAAGAACTGGGATCAAATGTGAATTAGAATTGGACAGAATCATAGGAAAAGGAAAAATAGGAAACGTTTATAAATTTATAAACATTTCCTACTTGTTCCTTATGTTATAAACATTTCCTATTTGTTCCTTATACCTTATGTATATATATATAAATACACAAATGCATACATACATGTATATACATATGTCTGAGTGTGTTTATGTATATATATTTTTTTTTTTTTCTTTATAAATCTTAGTTCATCTCGAAAGTTATTTATATATTCTCATAGTTATTCTTTATTGAATTTTAAGGTAAATTCTCATTTTATTTTCAGTATGTCACGAAAGCAAAAATTCATATATTCTTTTCTGCAATGAATGTAAGGTAAATTCTTATCCAATCTTTTCAGGATGTGTTGAAAGTAAAATACTCACATTGTTTTAGCTCTGCCGAAATATTTTCCTTGCTGGCATTATGTGTATAAAATAGCATATAGAATCGTGACAAAATTTCGAAGAAATATGACAAATGGCATACCGTTTCATTGAAACCTAGATTTGATTACGCGTTTTGCCTTTCTAGGCTTCATTAGATCAAATAACGAATGAAATAAATATGTGTGTCTGCATAAATAATAAATCAGTGGTATGTTTTCCACTAAGCTGAGGTCACTCGAGATGAGAGAAAAGAATGAAAATAAGGGACTATTAAAAGGCCATTAATATATCATAAATGTAAAGAAGAACCCCCATAAAGGAGAATATGAATAAAGACTGTGTGTACGCTATCCCGTGCAGCTGCGGAAAGAAATATAAAAGGGAGACAAGCCCCCCCCCTTAATGTAAGGCTTTAGTTAGAACACCAGAAAGCTGTAACTCGAGGGGAAGTGGAAAAATCAAACCTGGCTGAACACATATGGAGATAAAAAAGAGATCACCGCCCTCTGTGGAATCAGGTTGAGATCATAGACAAAGGACACCATTGGAAAATTCGTAAACTTAAGGAATCAGCAAATTTGCTACGCCATAAAAATCTCCTGAGCCGAAGATGCATAGAAATGAATACAATATGGGAACCAGTAAAAAGGAGAGAGAAAACGATAATAACAACAAAAATTGCAATATGAGATCTGGTAAAAACATGCAGTAATAACAGCAAAAATTGCAATATGAGCACTGCTAAAAAATGATGCTGAGACATTAGGTTCATAATACCCAGAAATTCATACACACATGTCCTCAAGATTACAGTGCATAAAGGCGTTAGTTAGATCCAGTGACAGGACTCAAAGAGTGTGAGTTCAATACTTGGTTAAGGCATAGAGGGGAATAAACAGGAGATAACTGATAATTGATATCCATTAAACATTGTACGGGGAACTAGAACAGACTACCGAAACAAATAGGGTTCAATTCGATATTCTGGATCGTACAACGGTCAAATCGATGTGGACAATAGTCCGAATAATGTAAATAAATATATATATATATATATATATATATATATATATATATATATATATGGGGTGTCTCTCTCTCTCTCTCTCTCTCTCTCTCACTATATATATATATATATATATATAAGATTCAGTAACAACAACAAAGTTGCTGAGATGTAGACATATTTTAATATTCCCAAAAATGTTCCAGAAACTATTAGCAAAATCGATATATATATATATATATATATATATATATATATAATAAAAGGCTTAAACACAAATATTCCATAGTCATAATTTATTCCACTGAAATCGTAAAAAGACAGTCAATTCATCAGACCTACAAATTAATTTGTAGGTCTGATGAATTGATCGTATTACGTTTCAAAGGAATAAATTATGATCACGGAATATTTGTGTTTAAGCCTTTTTATTATATCCTTACTCTGTCCTGGACATTGAGTTTTACCTGGATTCTGTCCTCTTGGAATTTTTTATTCAAAAAATATTCATGTATATGTATGCACCTACCTATATATATATATATATATATATATATATTTTGCATATGTATGTGTATATGTACCACTAATATTATATATATATATATATATATATATATATATATATATATATATATATATATATATATATATATATATATATATATAATAGGTTAACTGAAAGCACTCAAATGGAACAATCCTGGACACCTTATACATGTTCAAAAAGAAATCATCACACATCAGAATCACCGTGTCAATAATTTTAAAGAAACAACTATCTGAGAGGGATTGCTGGCCAAACACACAAATATATAACTGAATCTTCCTGGCGAGTGCACTAAACCATTACAAAACAGGGCTCATCTACGAAACTCCGGAGTTGAGGTGTTGAATATAACATTAATCGGATGAGTGACAATTTTTTTTATTAATCATATATATATATATATATATATATATATATATATATATATATATATATATATTGCTTAATACCCCAAACGTTAGGTTAAGGATACCCATACGTGAGTAGACTCCCTGTTGCAATTATCATTTTAAAATAGTGTGAATAGCATATACGGACCTGTGCATGGAGATTAATAAAAGAAATATAATCTCAGCCTGTGCTCGAACCTCCGTTTCCGTTTGAAGGACACATTTGCATATATGGGATAAGTATGGAATAGATATCGAATTTTCGAATATTTGCATATAACCGATTATTCATAAATATGAATGTGGCTTATTCATTTTTCATATATATATATATATATATATATATATATATATATATATATATATATATTGGAAGCGGTGAAAGATGGAAAATAAATATTTACGATTCATCATTCATATTTATGAGTAAATATCAAATGAATATGTTTCAAAATTTTAGAGTTATTTAACATACTTGCACTGACACACACAGACGAATACCTAAACAGGCAAGCTCCACACATATACATGAGTATATATATATATATATATATATATATATATATATATATATATATATATATGAAAATGCGTGTATATAAATAAAATTATATATATATATATATATATAAATATATATATATATATATATATATATATATATATATATATATATATATATATATATATATATATATATATATATATATATATATATATATATATATAGATATAGATATATATAATTATTTATATATTATATGCGCGGTACTGATTAGAAAGCGCTCAATATCAGAGATAGAGTTTACACATCAATTCAACCAAAGATATATATATATATATATATATATATATATATATATATAGAGAGAGAGAGAGAGAGAGAAAGAGAGAGAGAGAGAGAGATACATAATAAATACTAGAAAATGAAACAGGAACGGAAGAAAAAAGAAGAGGAAAAAAGGAAAAATGAAGAAAATAGAACAACAACATGAAAAAGATAAACAATGAAAAAGAAATTGAAAAAGGAATGAGGAAATAAAGAAAGAAAGAAAAAGAGAATAAAAAGGAGACAAAGACAAGAGAGAAAAATATGAAGAAAAGGGAAAAACACATGAAAAATAAAGGAAGAAAAATAAAGAAAAAAGAACAAAATAAAAATAAAAAAAAATAAAAAAAACAAGAAAAAGAAGACAGCAAGTTAGATTGCATGAAATCATCCCATCTCTCAAAGTTATCATTTACATAAGCGGAATTCTACGAGATTGCTTAATTTTTTCTGCATTTCTCGTATTTACATTTTCAGGTTTGATTGAATAAGCAACAAATAGAAACGTTTCTAAATATAACATGTGCTGAAACTTTAATAAAAGCGAAACATGTTAGATTTATAACATTGCCTATTTGTTCCAATGCTCATAATTTCAAAAGTATATACACACATCAACGACAATCCATTGAAGCATGTCTTTCATGAAGTGACAATCTCACATCTACAGAAAAATGGCAATTCTTATCATATGCATATCGTCACTGTGCAAGAGAAGTCATTTATTGCACGAGCATTCACTCAGATGGCTACTTTACAAGAGAACCATTATGTAACTAATACCAAGGAATATAAAAATCTAAACAAAGTTTTAAGAGAAAAAAATCTATGATATAAACGATCTTTGCCTGGTTTAATTGAAAGTAAGAAATAACTTGAATTTCTACTGAAGGAAATACGCTTCTACCGACGATTGTTGGACAGATCATGTATGCAACATGGTGGGCAATTCAATGTAGTTTAATGGACAGCAAGTTGCCTCGCTAGATCAATTACAATTACGACTGAATGGTGAGTTGGATCGTCACTGAGTACTCTTTATTTTCGCCCTTGTGCCACATCTAAGCTATCCTTAAAAAATCATCATGTAGTCAAAGTGGAATTTTTATGGCTACTCAGAGAAAACACCTTCATGATGAAAGAGGACCTGGAGAATCTGTTGCTCACGGGTAGAATA